GTCAAAATAGCTGCTGTGAAAAGGGCTGTTAGTAAATTGAGGACTCAGTTTTATGACACTTTCCTCTCTTCAGCAGCTACTCCTGACCTGCAGCTGTGTGGACCATCAGTGTCCAGCAGAGGGAGTAAGACAGCTGATAATCTGAGGTTACACATGGACACTACAGATAGTGCCACCAGCATTAGGTCTCAGACCTTAGTGGCACTTTTTAACAAACCTGTTTCCTGTTTAAACTTCTTTTTTTTAAGTCTGGTCCACTGGAGTGGATGGATTTGCAGCTCTGACTCTCACTTCAAGTGTTCAAAGTGAGCTGAAAGAGCCTGAGCTTTGGACAGTGTATCACTCACTTTACACCAGCTGACAGGTACATTGGATCACAGGCACTCAGACAGGTCAGGCTGATAACGCTGTCTTTTAAAGCATTTCGCTGCTGCCAAACGGACTCCACGGCCTGTCGGAGGAATAATGCTCCTGAGACTTCTTACATAGTTCCCAGGTCATGCACGTGTTCTGCAGCAAGAGGCTGAGCTTCCTGTAAGAGATCAAGAAAAGGCCTCCAAATACTTAAAATAGTTCATGCGCCATGAGGGAATATGTCGATGATTATATAGTGACGATGTCTCAGAGCTCACGTCATGTCACTCACCATAATTGTTGTTTTGGTTGTTGCCCCGCTGGACCTCAGCGAGGCCGAGAGAATTAAAATGCTAATTCATCCAGGACCAGAATGGTCACAGCAGCCATTTAAGTCGAGCCAGAAGCGTTTATCACACCATAATTAAGTTACTTCGAGGAAGAGAGACAAACTATCTTTGTCACTGTGTCACAGGCAGCATGGGAAAATACAGCTTGTGACATTCAGGTTTGTACTTCAGTAACTCAGAGTAAGGCAACTTTCATCTGAATGTCAAATCATCCAGATCACTGCGATCATTTCTATCAGTGAGGATAACCAACAAATGTATTTATTAATTAATACAATTCATAGTCATAAGTCATTGTACTAGTTTTACCTCCTACATTTTTACAGATATCTGTTCTTTACATTTCCAAAACAGACTCGGTACTTTGGCTTCAATGTATTTGAGGAGAATTGTTATTTTTTTCATTACACACTTTCCCACCATAAAGACCACTGCATGACAAACATAACAAGACGTAAGAGACGTTTCAGTTAACTTTGCATAGAAACAATAAAAGTGACACAACTATCAGAAATGAGCTGTCAGCAAAACGCTAGCAGTATTTCATTAGCCAAATAACGATCGATGTAGAGTAACAAGTTAGTTAGCTAACATTAACTAACTCAAGATGTGACGTATTTATATTCATGTTGAGTTTAGTTTTTAACCATCTTGTCTTTTCAACATAGACGAGGCTAGCACATAGCATAGCTCTCTGTTGACCGAGGTTACGAAAGGGGCGGGACTTAGGAAGGGTCAGTGGCTGAGATCTGGAAACAAGGTCAAGAAACAAACGTCCAGGTTAGTCAAATAAATGAAGGCGAACAGAGAAATGATAACTTAAACTGTTGTAAACAGCCACCGCCGTTTACTGACCCACTTCCTGCTTCAACTAGCTTAGCAACATTTCAGGTGCGCTCACTTTCCATTTCACCTCCACAGAAAGTGGTTCAGATAATCTCGATAAGTGATGATGAGTACAATGTTACTAAAACTACACGAGAACGTCGTCTTATTAGAAATATTAGAGAACCCCAGTTTATGTTCAGTGAAAAAATGTTCAGTGCCAAGATTTTAAAAGTGAATTATTACATTGGCACATGGCAACTTTATGCTGGTTATGGTTGGAGAGTTACGGTGCACGCCCATCCACCACGCAGTTAGGCAATGGGACTAACACAGAGGCCTTTACTTTCTGCCTGGCCACATAAAGCACGCACTCTTCCTACATTGGCACTGCAGACACATCCAATATGTAATTCTGTCAGACGTCGTTGTGTTTCTATGAAAATAAAACCCAAACCGTGACTTATCCTTTAAAAGTTTACATTGTCCTGCTTCTAAGAGGATTTTATGACTTCGGTGGCCATTAACCCGTTGTGAATACTTTCAAAAATAGTCCATGCTAATCAGAAAAAGAAAACTATTTAGGGGCAAAAGCAGCCAGATTAGCTCAGTTCCTGAAGGAAACAAGTGGTTGGCGATGGGAGTACAGTACATATGGTCGTCAACATTAACCTTGAGATGGCAGTTTGAAGTTAATTATGTTTCCTTTACAATCCAACAGAGGGTGTATTCGAGCCCGCATCTGTGTTTATGAAAAGTGTGTAATAATAGTGACTTAATCACACAAACAGTGCAACCTCTCAGTCAACTTGACTTTGCGTGGAAACTCCACATCTCGGGACATTCTTTTGGTTGTTCACCCAAACCACACACTGTTAACAGCTGTGCAGTATTTCACTCCGACTGCTCCGAGATTTTTTCTCTTGTGTGCCGAGCTCTTTTCCAAAACCACTCATTAATAAAGTATTTGTGATCATGTGGCACTGACAGCAGGACAAAGATCACTGCATGAGAGAGCGAAGGAGGGAGGGAGGGAGGGAGAGGAGGGAGGGAGAGGAGGGGCGGAGAGCCAACGTTAAGAAGAAAAAAAAACAAAGGGATAAAAGAGGAGAAAAAAAGGTGGATGTTTTAAGGGAGAAGGGTTAAGAAACGCTCTCTTTCCCGCTCTCTTGCACACACACACACTCTGCACGCAGACTCCCCGCCCCTCCCTCGCTCTTACTGTCTCCTCTGTAATGAGCTCCAGATGTGCTGCAGAGGATGGGGGTGGGTGGGTGAGGGCGAGGCAGGAGGAGAGGGGAGGAGGAGGCGGAGGAGTGGTGGTGGTGGTGGGGGAGCTGCCTTGTATGTCATGTGCTCAGGCGTGGAGAGACGCTGTCCGAGGGGACGCTGTCAGCCCTGATGGAGTGGCTGGCCGGGGCCTGGGGGCGAAGACGGGGGAGGTGGAGAAGGAGGAGGAGGAGGAGGAGGAGGAGGAGTTGGGAAGGGGGGTCAAAAAGATCTCCACATCTGGAATCACTTCAGGTCAGCCCAGGCCCTGGCCGTGAAAGGTGAGACCGGGCGCCTGGCAGGGGAGAGGGGGACAGGGGTCTGACACTGGACATACCACAGTCAGGGATCAGTGATCAGGAAAACAAGCAAAATAAAACGGCTGAAAAGAAAACAGAAATATCCCGTTTTTAATGTGGCATACAAGTCAGGAAAAAGCCTTCAGTCACATCAATGAACCCCCTATTTCTTACGACTCACGCGGGTCAAACACAACTCAAACAAGTGGAAGAAGTCCTTAAATCCTTCGCTCCATTGAAAAAAGACAGCAGAAGAAATGCTCCTTTCTCCCGACATTCAGAATCAACAAGCTGTAAAACCTCCCACACTGGAGATACTGAAATGATGAAAAGCTCCACACATTTTCATGCTTTTCATGGAGATTTCTCTGCTTTCAGATCAGATGAGGGATCAAACAATTCTCAGACGTCATTCCCTTTCTAAAACTCCCAAACACAAACTTCCATCAAACGACAACAAGGCGGCAACGGCGGATATTTCAGGAGCTTTTCACACGTTGAATGTAAAATCTAAATCTGTAGAGCAACTCCAACTGTCCAGAAGAAAGCAATAAAGTCAAAATGACAATTAAAAAGTCTCTGAATGAAGTAAGAGAGGAAAAGGAGGCTAAAACACTGAATAACTGATGATGGATGCCAGAGAACAGCATGGGGTTAAACTTTAGGAAGCGAGCAACAGCAGGCCGAAATGTTCAATTTTATGCCGAATTCATCAGAAGAAAGTAAGAATTTAGAAGACAAAGTTTCCCAAAGTATATAATGTGTGACTCCGTCAAAGCAACATTACACGTTAAACTCTTCGAATGGAGTTTGGTCTATGAGAAAGAGCAGTATTTGTGAGTTTTAAACATTAAACCTGTCCAGAAAATATTTCCCTGATATTTTAGGAACTTTTTATATAGTTCTGTATTGTGTATCTTTATTCATTTTCAACAATCATTCATACCTAATAGGCTTAGTTTTTGACAAATGTAGTGTTTACTTGAAAAACAGAAGGAACAGGAGGCTAAAACACTGAATAACTGATGATTGATGCCAACGAACAGCATGGGGTTAAACTCTGGGAAGCAAGCAACAGCGGTGTGAAAAAACAACAAACTGAAGTGACTGAAAAGTTAATTTTTATGGCGAATTTATCAGAAGACAGTAAGAATTTAAAATATTCTATACACAAAGTTTCACAATGTATTTAATGTTTCACACCATCAAAGCAAACTTAAATGTTGAACTTTCTGAATGGAGTTTGGTCTTTGAGAAGTATTTGTGAGTTGTAAACATTAAACCTCTCCAGAAAATATTTCCACATGCTATGTGACCGCACCTATTGAGCACTTTTTCCTCAAAGTCTTACAAAAGTCGAAACACTACCACATCGTCTGCCTTCGACCCCTCTCTTTACGGCCCGTGTGCGCCGCTCGAGGACGAGTGTCGACATGTGTTTGTTGACGGCGGAGGTTATGAGGGGCCACGGAGAAGAAACACCTTGTATGACAGCCGCGGAGCTAAACGAGGCCCAGGGGCCCTCCATATTAAGGAGAGGATTTCCCTGCTCATAAATATCCTGTTTTTAAGATGGAAATTTCAGGTTGCGGCAATCAGGAAAAAAGAAAACACACAAAGCGGGAACAGCTTGAGGTTTCTGTGAAGGAGGATCTGTTCTCGAGTTGTAAATCTCTCTTTTATGGGGCGTACACGAGGTCCAAGATCATTCTGCTTTTCCAAATGGTTTCAACTATAAACATGCTTATTTCTTATAGTTTGTGAAGCATGATTTAAGTCTCCATTGCAATGTAGCAATCGTATATTTTTGTTATGGTGATTTAAAAACCTTCCAACCACGAAGAGTCACTCCAAAAATTGGCGTTTTCCCCTCCTTTGTTGAATTGGACACTGTGCCATTGCATTGCTTGAAATGCATTTTTATTCATATACAAGTTTTTTTATTCTGTTACAAATAAAGGATATCATAGGAAATTAAGAGAATCTACTGGTTTTTGGATTCAGAAATACATTAGCCTCTCCTTTATATTGGACTATTACATGAAAATGTTGCTCGTCAGTGGTATAACATGGAAAGAAATGTGGGAAGAAAAAAAACAAAACTAACTCTTTTTAAAGAAATTGCATAAATGTCAGAAGTCCTTGGCGGTTTGTCGTTGGTTTTAAAAGAGAGAGAGAGAAAAAAAAAGTGTTGTTGATCCCAAATTTGGTGTGTAATTGTATCCAACACCACAGCCAAAGGGACAAAGGGAACTCCACGTAGTCCATGCACGAGTCTCCGCCGAGAACAAGTTCTCTGATTGAAAACTCTCCATTTCAGTCACAATCACAAAGTAAAACTACGCAGATATTCGGATACAGCATCCAATAGATGTCTTTTTTTTGTACAAACAATAGTTCAGTGATGCTCAGGAGGATAAAAAAAAAGGGAAAATCCTGCCATCACTCCAACATTTTTTGCATATAGGTGATAGAACTGCTCCAGAAGGCAGAGGAGACTTCATGATCCGGGGTACGTGAGAAGGCGCTCATCCCAGAGACGGCGTCCAGCGGCAGAGAGGGTCCCCTCCCCTCCTCCAGCGCGCAAGCCCCCACCCCCCGGCCTCTCCTCCTCTCAGTTGACCGTGGGCACCTGGTTCAAGCTGTACTCCTTGGCTTTGAGCCGCAGGTTGGCGATGCTGTTGGCCATGTTCATTCCCTGGGACGTGTTGGTGTTGGAGCAGGTGGGCGGGTAGGTGGCCATGGCGCTGAGAGACAAGAGGAGGGGAAAAGGTTACATCACCTGTGGCTGACGGCGAGCTAAAGCTCAGCGTGAGCCGCAGCTGTGGAAATATGGAAAGGATCAAAAAAAATGTATCACTGATCATGTGAAAAGATTTAAAATCTGACGTTAACACACTCACAGCCCAAAAATCCCCCAAAGGAACTCAACCAGTGTTCTGGCACATTATAACCCAGCATTTTCCAACCTTTTTCCTTAAGGAAGCTCTTTTCTAAGGCACATATAAGAATCCAAACAGTGAACACAATACCTGCAGGAAGTTTGTGTAAAACCAGAGATTTGGATGAATATTGAGCTGATTATTTCCAAGATTTCAATGTTTTCTCCTCCCTGACAGCCATTGTTCTATTTTTCTTTATCTTTGTACTTTTCTAATGCAGGACGAGGCTGAAGGCTCTGTGAATAGTGACAATAATGTAGGTACACTTTATAAAAATAACTATGTGTCATATATGCTGAAACTTTATATCCTGACCGTAGGAGTCTTTAACTGACAACCCCAGGAATGAGACTCATTAATCAACTATTTTTCTCGGCTCTGATTGGTTGTTTTTGTTCAGGCCCGGTCGATGTACCACTGTCAGGACATAGTGAAGAGTTTTAATAAAAGTTATCTACTGTAGCTTTAAACTTTATCCGCCACTCATTATTGTTCCAGTAGACTATTTCTGTATGATGTAATAAATGTCTGGAGGGGATCTTTAAATGATAATCGAAAACTTTAAAAACAGAAATGAATGAAATACTGAGATAAAGGCACAACTACCGCTTAAAAAAAGGCCTTGCGACCCCCTGTGAAGCTTTGGTGACCCCTATGTGGACATTAATGGGTTAAATAACAGTAAAACAAATGGCAGATGACAAAAACTGAATGTTCCAGCGCTTTCTGCCACATCTCATGGCCTTCATCAACAGATGGAGTTTGATGAAGACCATGAGATGTGGCAGAAAGCGCTGGAACATTTTCTGTCAACTGCTCCATGAACATCCACAGTCAGTGTTCATTTTCATACATTTTTTTTTGCTTTTTCGGGGAATTCTTGTTATTAATTCTTGTTAAATTTGTGTCTTTCTTTCCTTTTTCCCAGTTTTTTGTCTTCGTACTAAAGTGTGTTTTTTCACCTCTCGTCTCTCTTTCTTGGCTTTCTTACAAAACAGCCGTGTCTCTCCATCCATGATTTATTGACTTGTTTGTTGTTTTTTTTAAACCAAAAATGCCATAAATTTGGGCAGCCTTTGTTTTTAAGTTCATGCCAGTAGTCAATTTACAGAGGCTAAATGTTCGCTGTGTTTTGGTAAGCATCTTGTCTGCTTTTGTTGTTGTCAAATTGATGTCCTCTGAGATAGAGAGATACTTTATTGATCCCCAGGGGGAAATTCACACTTATCATATAATATAATTATAATTACTCTTATCTGGTCCTACAGATCGGATTAAATGTTTTGGAGGTTTTTCAGTTTCAGCCGCAAAATTATTGACTTTATTTTATGACGTTCATTCAGTTTGTCTTTAATTGTCATTGAAGACTCATCTTTGGCAACAATTATCTGCAAAAAAAAGGATGAAAATATTCTCTGTCTAAACATTAAAAATGACTAGATGTAGTAAAGTTTACAGAACGGAGAACAACGCTGCGTTTTTTGTGAAAGTTTAACTTAAAACACATTGGAAGTTACTTTTATTCTTTCTATTCTTTAGTTTTTTTTCTTGTTGCTGTAAAACATTTAATCAGACCAACAGATGGACTTAAAGACACAAAGACAACATGACTTTTTAACCAAAAGCAGCACTTTATATTAAGGTACACATATTCCCCATAAACTAGTTCCCTATTAGCATGTTAGTCATTATAAAGAATGTATTAATGCTACTCAGGGATTTCCCTCAATAAACTCTGAATTACTTCTTATTGATAGAAAATAACAAGGTTGTACATTAATTATTATCTTAAAGCTGCAGTATGAAATTTTTATGAAAATATTTTTTGTCATATTTGTTCAAACTTTCACTATATCCTGACAGTAGAACAGAAAACAGATAATCTGTGAACAAATCAGGTTCCTCTGGCTCCTCTTGGTGCTCCTAATAGTATTTGCAAGAATCAACCGGGCCCGAACGAAAACAACCAATCAGAGACGAGAAACAGTTGATTGTTGAGAGAAACCTCAAAAGTCTTCTTCTTATTCTGATTTAGAACAACTTAATCTAGAGTTAATTGGACACTATTAACGCTTGTGTTTTGTGTTTTGTTACATAAGAATAGAGTATATTTATTGTCTGTGTTAAGGCTCAATAAGCATATTGAGATCATAATTCATGCACACCAACTTCCTTACTAACTATCAATGAGCAGTAATTAGGACGTTATTGAAGGAGAACCTATTAATTAGTTAAAGGCGTTAGCAACTGATAAAATCAATATGCGTCTAATATGCATGCAAATAAGCAACTAGTTAATGTTTAATATGTGTACCTCAATATAAAGTGTTACCCAGAATCTTTTGCTTTCACTCTATAGAAATTATAAATGAGTGGAAACCAATGGCTGCCAGAGGAAAGGTAGAAAACCGGATGCTTAATGTTTTTAAAAAAGGGCTGAAATGTGCAGAAATACTGGCTGGATCCTATAAAGACAACAACAACAAACAACAACAAAAGTGGAAAATTAATACAAAAACATTCAAAAGGCAAAATAAAATGCAAGAAATACAATCAGGAAACACCTTTAAAATTATAAAAAGAAGCAAAAAAAAAAAAAAAGTAAGGCTTTTGAAAACAGTGAATAAAGTAAAACGTGAAGTAAACAGCAGTATTTTTCTTTAAAGGAGAATACCGCTAACAACAAAGAACTCAATGTAGTAAAGTGAAAGCGTACTTGTTCTCTGAGGGCAGCATTTTCTGTGGCACTCGCACTGGCCCCCCCTCCGGCATCGGATACCAGCTTTAGGATAATATACAGTGAAGTGTTAGCACCACATTAGCCACATAGCATTATTCCTGTTTCACAGCAGATTTCCCTCGCTGCCCCGCGTCCGGCCAAAAAGCTCTCAGTGAGCTCGAGCCGAGGCCGCAAGGGTTTGACATTTTATACCGAGTTTCATAACGGAGGATTACCGTAAATCATGACCAATGTAACCAGAGTCACAAAAAATGTTGCCCAGTAGAGCTCTGTCTCTGTGTAGCGTTCATTATCTGGTGTAGTGTAGCAGAGAGGGGTCGCAGGGGTCAACAGTGGATTTAATACGGTTTGTTTTCACATTATCACCTCATCAGGAGGGTCACGGGATCTGGCCCCGCCTCCGCTCACGCTCACGCTAACAGACGGGAGCGATGGGAGTGAGGTTGAGGGAAAAAGAGTGTTTTCATTCAACACAATTAGTCTGGAGTTCGATATGTGCACGACAGGACTGTTATTGATACGCAGGGTGGGAATGGCTGCAGGGAAGAGTACAGACACAGAAAGGGAGAAGTCCAAAAAGAAGCCGTCTAACAGCGATGGAGGAAGAATCTTTTACTGAAGTTTTGGAGAGTTTTACACAAAAATAAGTTATTTTTACGGTACAAAACTTTTTCTACTATTACGGTAAAAAGATATTAATCCATATTTGACCTTTTAACTACAAGTTTTTACCATTAAAAGAAACAGTTTTCTCTAAAATGTACAGTCTGTAAAACTTTATTCTCTATAAATTCCTTTAAAATGACGTAAAAATAAAGGTTTTGCTGTGAGATAGAAACTTTAACCAAATTTGTGTTTACAATCTTTTACTGTTTAATGCTTTGACAGTTTTTCACCGTAAAAAATCTAATGACATTTTTTACAGTGTAAAGCTACTTTGGCTCAATATTAATGTATAAAACCTAAATTGGAGAGAAAAACCCCAAATCATTTAAGCTTAGTGTGCATTATTTTTAGAGCTTAACATCTAACACGACAAATAACAAACCTGCAACTTACACAGATATACAGATTACATAATGTTTAAGATCGTACGCCAGTTCTGATATACTACAGTGCTGGAAAGCATAAAGGAGAAATTTACACTGGAGGAGCAGGCGTGTGATTTAGTGTTTTGCACGCCGTATGTCAGTGCAGCAGTTTGTGCTAAAACGTTAAATTTAACATGGCAGTTTGGCACCGAGAGTTTTGGCCAAAGCAGCCACAAAAATACTGAAGAATCACAACGGAAAAATACTGCTTTACACGTAAAAGTTCAGCTTTTTTTAAGTAAAACAGGGAACCAGCTGTTTCTCTGAGGAATTATGTTCATATCTGCAAAAAAAAATCAACATAATAAAGTATCTAAAGATATCTTAATTTATCGAAGAATATTCGCTCTTGGGAACTAAAGTGATTTTAGATTAGATAAAAAGAGGAAGAATGACTTTCACTTTTACTTTTTCCAGATGTTTTACGGAATTAATAATAATTTGGGGGATTTTTCAGCAGACATTTATTTTGAAAGTAAAACTATAATCTGAAAGGTGAGCAGTAACTGTAACTGTCAGATATGTAATAAGTATAATATTACCCTCTGATAGTGGATAATAGAAAGCTCATTGTCCACTCAGTTCGGTGTGATGGTCTGGAGTTACTATATGTTCCCTCTTGTCAACACATCCCATTATAAAAGAGTCCAAATCCAACATGTGATCCATCTTCTTCTCTGTGCCAACTCATCAGTGTTCCTTCATCAATATGAACTCACACACTGTAGTTCATTTACAAACCGTCCTACAGACACTCTCTACAGCACCAAATGTGGATTCATCCGCCGCTGGAAATAGTCCCCGACTCATTTCCTCCCGTTTGTTGGATTAAAAACTACAGCGAGCAGCCGGTTCAGGTTATATTTACGTTTCAGTTAAACATTAAACTACATGTTTGTGAGATAATGAGCTTGGAGCTGAGAGCCACAGACAGGAAGTCAGACAGTACTGACGGACGGACGGACGGACACACTGCTGGTTTGGGTTGAGATTTAATGACAAGAAGAAACATACAGAAGATCACCAGACTCATCCTTTGAACCTGCTTTTATAGTCCAGTATTGTTCACTGTCAGCGGAGGACGTGTAAATAAAGGTGGAATGAATCATCGTCACGCTGAGTCCAGGTGGATCAGAGGAGATGAAGATGATCAGAGGAGCTATGAGGAGAATGTGCAGGTAGAGGAGGAGGAGGAAATGAAACAATAACAGGAAGCAGCGCCAGGGTGTGTGTGTGTGTGTGTGTGTGCTGTTAACATGTGGTTATTGTGGTTTCAGCTCATGCTTTTTCAACTGGAGACACTCGGTGTGATTCAGCAGCAGAACGCAGAGGAAAGACTTTCTACTTTAACTCCTGTAATGTCAGTTTGTTCCTTTCCTTCTTTCTTTCCTTCCCTCAGTCCCTTCTCTCCTTGTTTCCTCCCTTCTTTCCTTTCTTTAACCTTTTCTGTTCTTTTCTCCTTTCGTCCTGTTTTCTTTATTTACTTGTCCTTTCCTTCCTTCTTACTGTCATTTGCTTCTTTCCTTATTTCTTTTTTCATTCTCTCCCATCCTACTTTCTGTCATTTATTAACTTTCTCCCCCTTTCCTCTTTTTATTAGTACTTCATTCTTTTCTTCTTGCCTTCCCTCTTACTGTCCTTTGTTTCTTACTTCAGTCCCTTCTTTCATTGTTTCCTCCCTTCTTTCCTTCTGTGTGTTGTGTCTCTACTTATTTCTTTCCTGCTCTTCCTTCTTTCATTTCTTTACTTTTTCTTTTCTACTTTTCTCCTTTATTCCTCCTTTTTTCCTGTGCTTGTTCTTTCCTTCCTTCTAACTGTGTTTCTTTCCATCTTCTTTTCTCCTTCCTGTCTTACTTCAGTCCTTTCTTTCCTTTCTTCCTCCTTTGCTTCCTTTCCTACTTTATGTCATTCGTTAACTTCTTTTCTCCTTCCTTTCCTCCATTCTTTGCTATTTTCTTCTTTCCTTCCTCCCTTCTTCAACTAAAGTAAAAACATGAAAAACTGGAGATACGAGGTTTCCCCCCAGCAGTAAACTCCACTTCCTCTCAGTGACGTTACTCTCACTGCTGACACTTGAATCTCTTTTTGCTGTGCTTTTACTTTGGTAGTTTAAGTTCCTCTTCCTCTGCTGTGCTGCAGAGCGGCGGCGTTAACGCAGATGTTGGTGTGGTGTGCAAACAGACGTTACTGGCTGAGAAAGCAGAGTGGTCTCTACCTGTAGGGGGCAGCGCTGCCCCAGGACAGGTAGTCGTTGGGGCGTGGTGCAGGGCGCGGTACGATTGGCTGCTCCACCGCCGTCACGTCTCCTGAGTACGATTTGAGGAGCGAGGCGTTTTTGCTGGCCAGCATGGCGCGCTCGTTCCTGCGGAACTTGGCTCTCCTGTTCTGGAACCAAACCTGGAAGCAAAGAGGAAACAGCAGGAATGAGGTTGAGTGAAAGTGAGCGATTGAAAGGCGCTCGTCTTGTGATGGACGCTACGACCGTCACACACTCTTTACAGAAACACTCAAAGGCCCAAAGATACAAAAAAGGTCAGCACAACGAGTTCCCATTGGACGAATCAGAACCCCAAAGTTTACATTCAGTTACACAACAAATTAAACTCAAAGGTTCATCTCATCGTCTTCATCAGAATACAACATACAACATAATAAGAAGCTTTCATATGTGGCGATGAAGACTGTGAGAGTGAGTGGACAATGAGTTTACTTTAACAACATCCTGAGCTCTTTATCTGCACATTAAGAGATATTTGAGGCTGTGTTCAGGAGTGTGTTTATATCGAAGAGCGTGTGAAGAGACTTTTTTGTTTCTGATGTGCGGTAACCCTTTTTAAAAAAAGAGTTATGACTGATGAATCGGGGTTTCATTTTATATAGTTACCTGGTTTCATTTGCATTTGGTACAATAATCCAAATATCTTTATTGATATTATTATTATCGTTGTTATATTTTCTTTTTCTTTTTCTTCTACGGTGGTTGCGAGTTTCGTAGTTTCTCCTGCACACCTCACAGCCTGTTCTTATTCTCTGGGCATCAATTGTAAAATTAATTCTAATTATCAAAAAACTTAATTTCTAAAACGTTTAAAGTTTTTACTGGAATGTGGGTCAGCAGAATGACACCTAAAGTATTGATTCTACTGAAACTACGTCTTATTGAGAATCAACTGTAACATCAATCTGCTTCACAAAAACAAATTAGCATTAGATAAACATTTGACAGAGAAATGAGTGAATAATAATTCAGTGATAATGAAACTGTATTAACGTGTAGTGTACTGTGTATTGGCATTAGTGATTGTGGCCCTGGTATTGGTTGGTTGTGAATTGAAACTAAGTTTTGTTACACTGAGAAACACCAACACATGTACTTGGTGTGAAGACTCAAATGAGGTGATGATGTGTCACATTTCCTGGTTGTATTCTGACCTTCGTCACGTGGAATGACAATAAAAAGCACTACAAAACTCTAAAATCTAAAAACAGATCAACCCGGCCGTTCTCTTGCCTCGGTTAAAAACACTTCTTTAAAATACAAACGCCCCCCCCCACCGACCCGTTGCTAAACAGATGACGACGTGACTCGGGGGGTGCTAACGCCGCTCCTCGCTGTGAAATCAAATCCATTATTAGAAGCTGTGGGCGCTCGCAGGGGCTCGCTGTCCACTGACGCACAGCCTCAGGAATGAGCCCCGCGTCTCTTTTATCAAAGGATTTCTGCATCGCTCTCTGCTACACATTAATCACAGATGTGCTGCTTCTCTCCCTCCAACATCACTATTTCCTCTTTCCCACTCGCTCTGCCCACAGAACAAACACTCTCACTGCTGCGCTCACAAAATGGCCAATTAAAACACACAGAAAAGCATTCTGGGTACACATCCACTCTCATACACGTATAATTCATATTGATAATAAACAGAAGGCCTGTATGCGTTTAAAAGAATACTTTATGAACTTTTACTGTTATGTAATCGTCATTTTAAAGCTTGTTCACGACAACTCGGGGGGTGATTTCCACGGACACACAGGTGACGTTCCTTTCTCTTCTACAGTCTCACAGCTGCAGTTTGAGTGACTCTCTGTAAAATCTCCTCAGCTGAAGAAGTTCTGATTACATAAATGCAGAAACACACGCCTCAAGAGCAACATCAGGCTTTGTTGGGACTTTTATTGCCCTGGGTTTTGTCTGACAGGCTACAGCAACAGTTTGCCTGAGGCCGTCTGATTGGTGGAGATTCATGGGGCTGTTACGCAGCCAGACTCGTTCTGGTTTTGGAGCCGGTTGCGTTCAAGATTCTTGGAGCCTTAAACCTGGAATTTTTTGGTTTCAGATGGAAACCAAGTCTTCGGGTTCTGAACCAATTTATTTTTGGTCGAAATGCTACAAACAGTTCCAGACTGGTGGCCTGAACCAGAACGAATTAGGTCTGGTTCTTGAACCAGTTCCACTTAAGACTCCAGGAACCATGGTGCTATCTAATGAAGCAGCCGATGTTTCCAGCAGTTTTTAGTGGAACCACTTTAGAATATGACACGACCACTTGGTTCTGAACTGATTTCATTTTGGTCAAAATGCCCCGAAATGAGGTGCCTGAACCAGAAAAGAGTCCCGTTGGTGGAAAAGCAGAACGCCACATATGACCTCAGTTAGTCGTCTCCGTTCATCGGTTGCCAGTTAAGTTGAGGTTGACTCCGTAACTCATAACCTGAGATCCTCTAGCTAACCCTCGCTCGTTCCAATAAGTCAAGAACCTGTTTTTAAATCATTGCTTAAAGATTTCTTTCCAGGAATAACTTGTAAATGTGATATTGCTGCTGTGTTCTTTTATTTTCTGTTGTTCTGAAATTCCATTTTTGAATGCATATTTTTATCTTTGCTTTATTCTCATGTATTTATACTTTGTAACTTTGTTTAGATAAGTGCTTTTACAAATAAAGTTAGTATTATTATAATCAATTCTCAGAAACACTGCATTGATTTTTGTGTTTAAACAGATAAACTGAGGGCTGTGATGTCGGATGGTACAGGAGTTTTGATAAATACTAATGGAGATCCTTTTATGCATATTAATTCTTTTTAAGAATGAATGTAGAGTATCACAATATATTGAATTGTAACCCCTTTATCGTGACACATTTGGCCAGATTCTTGCCCATACACAGACCTAATGAGCACCTGGCTATCAGACGCCCCGACAATTAGTCATTTTAATAGTTTCAGAAACAAGAATGGATTCATAAACTAATTATTATTTAATTCTTTAACTGTAATATTTGATATTCTGTGGTTAAAGATGTCTCATCTCAGTCTCTGCTCCCTCTTTCCTAACCTCTGAAACCAAACCTACACAACCTCCAGAGGTCAGACTCAATAACTCTACTTGCATTGAAGATATTAAATCCATCCTCCGGGTTCTTTAATTGATAACACTCCTAAGTGTGATATCATTCATTTGGCCAATCGCAGCATCATATTTAGCTCCCGTTCTGCTGCATGTGTTCAACACATTTGCCGTTTATCACCGATCTGTAAACCTCTGAGGAAATTAGACATCATTACATCCACTTTTCTGATCACATCCAGTCCTTTGGGGGAGTTTATAAACTGCTCGCAGACTCTCAACCGTCAGCAATTATTCAACACATGATGGAAGCTGCTGACAGGCTCTTATCAGTGTGTGAAATCTAAACATGCTAATAGGCCCTGATAACTGCTAGCCACTAAGTAGGATTATTAACTAAATCTATTAAGCGCTAACAGATGATGTGAGCGCTCTGCTGCTTCCCGCTGCAATACAAACAGAACCCTGCAGGAATCATTTCATAAATCGCATTTTCAGTCACACAGATGATTTGGTCCAACAGGGTTTCCAAAACTTTCAGAACTATTTTTGATGTACCGAGTTTCCGTCCCGGCTTCAGTAATGTGAATCCTTTCAATCTGGGGACTTTTATGGCTTCTTGTCCGCTGATCAAAGGTTGAATCTGTCTGATAAACCGCTGCTGCTGGAGGGAAAACTTCAAACTTCCCGGGATTTAATGACTGACTCCCTGCGTGAAGTGTCACTCTGCCCGCCATCCTCACATTACCACAAATTATTCAGAATTAGGGATCCTGCTGTCCCAAAATAGGAATATTTGGGCTCCGGAGCTTCGGTCGTAATCAACAGTGAATATCCAAATAGTGGATTTAAAGTTTAAAGTCCACATGAAACAGAAATCAGAGCGCTGTTTGCTTTAATGTGTTTGTGTGTTTCCTGTATATTTCTGAATGTGGGGCTGGGACCGAATACAGCAGCCGATGCCGACGGAGGACAGTTGGACTGCTGGGAATAAAGCACTGAGGTGATATCTCTGCTGGCTACGATAACAAGCTAACAGCAGCTACATTAGCAGTGAGTGGAGCCATGCTGTTAGCTGGCTGGCTAACTAATGAACCTTCGCTCTGTGTGGTTAAAAGTTGGAGATTGATTGACGGGTGAATGTTTAATGATTTGGCATTCATTGTTAAACAGGGATACAATATGAGCAGGGTTTAATCTTAAAGGGTTAAAAGGTCATCTTTACTTTAAAGGACATTTTTAACCTCACGAAAAATGATATTCTAATATATTTTAATCTTTTCTAGCTAGAAACATCCACTGTTGGCTGCTCTGCATGAGCCTCGAGGTCTGAAGGAAACTAACAGCACAGTCTGCAGCGACCTCCCCGTCCGTACCTGGACTCTGGCCTCGGTGAGGTTGACCCGGCGGGCCAGGTCCTCCCTGACGAAGGCGTCGGGGTAGTGTGTCCTCTCGAACACCCTCTCCAGAGCCTGGAGCTGGCTGCTGTTGAAGGTGGTCCTGTTCCTGCGCTGCTTCCTCTTCTTCTTCTCCTCCGTGTTCATCTGTTCATCTGCAGGCAGAATAAGAAGAAGGAGAAAAGCCGGTGTTATATAACCTTCACAAGACTTCACAAGGTTGTTCTTTGTGGCCGCAGACACTCTGCCGGAGGAGGTACAATAACAGAACGAGGTCTAAAGCCCCGTGTCAGACCTCATCAAAATGTAATAATAAATAGAGCTCGCTGCATTCACTGCGGAGCCTCCTCAGACCTCAGACATTAATAATAATAATCATAATAATAATGTCACTGACGGTCATCCATCAAGTAACAAATGATCATAAATACATCACAGGAAGTATATGTGGACCTTTAGAAAGCAGCAATTCACTTCATTCAAGCTGTTTAGAGTTTAACAAACTGGTTATTTGTTTGTATGAAATCAGCGTTGGAGGACAGATGTTGGTGGTTTGGTAAAAACGGGAGTGAACTGGTTACACTAATCACTATTATGATCCTGATAAATAAGACATTTATTTGTTTGTTATTCGCTGTAATAGATTCAGATTAATTCAATTATTCAGATATTTTGTGAATATTAATTAAAACAACAGAATCACTGACGTTCATCCAGATAATGAAGGATCAGAAATACATCAGATTACCATCATTTGTTTTTGTTTTTATTTATCCATTATTTTCTCTTTATTGGGGTCTTAAAGGTGATCTATAATAATTGTTCAGCAGGTTTTGTGGTCGCTGTTTGCATGAGTGTGTTCAGATTATAGAAAAGTATAAAAATGATTGCGTATTGTCACAGTTTAATCTAACTGATCAGTTTAATCAAAGAGTTCTAATCAATGACCAACCTGCTCTACCACCTGACCTTCAGCTGCTACTGAGTACTTTTACTTGACACAGGCGAGTACAGCTAATATTTCTCTACTCGTGGAACATTTCATCAAACTTTTTAATTCAACTGTAGTTTTTACATTTTTCTCTGTTTCATTAATGTTGTTATAATTTTTAAAGGTTCATTCCGCAGTTATTCCCGGTGCCGGCCTGTTTTTCATATACAAATAAACTTTATTATTATGTTTGCATTACAATATTTCTACTGAAGTGAAGGGTCTAAATTCTGAATCTTCTACTTTAACAGAAAATGTTGAGAAATGTGCATCAAAATATGGCTCAGTGGGTAAGACGCAGTCAGCGTTCTCTACAACGTCCAACCTGGACGCCGTCCCTCACTCTCTCCACACACTTCCTGTCCGACAGTCAACCACTTTTCTATCAATTAAAGCCAAAAATGTCCAAGAAAAAGAATCTTTCTGTCCTAAAGGCCCCACTGACGCACATTAAAAACAGCTATATGGAAACAACTGGCATTACAATAATTCCAGAGTGACATATTTTTCCCAGAAACAAGTTCCCAGTGTGGATCATACACCCAGTAACAACAACAACGTCTCTGGGGGCACCACAAACTGAATCCCATCCATAAATACCAGACAGATCCTGGACGAATAAAACCAGAATATCTGCATGAGAGACACAGCACTGAGTTTAAAAAAGGAAGTGACCGGTTCTTTGGTTCGTTTCCTGATTACCAAACAAACAGAATGAGATAAATATATAATCCAGCTCCATGTGTTCAGTGTGAATGCTCCTGCAGGCTGAAACCACCACAACAAGACCACAAAATAACACGTTCACATCCAAAAACAGAGACTGTGATCATCCATGTTCCTGCCTGATTATACACACACCACACACACACACACACACACATTGTGACATTAATCTGGCAGCTGGAAAAACTTCACAGATTCCGATTTTACACTCAAATAAATAAATAAAACTGAATGTTTTGACTTTAAACCCTGAAAACTGTAAAAAATTCTGTCGGTCATTCAACAGTTTTAAAATTATTTCTTCTAGTAGTCTGAAGTTTTTTGGAGTTATTTCTTTGCATTCAATCAGCGTTCGAGGACAAATGTTGGTTGTATTTATGTCTTTTATGATCATTTTTAGATAAACGTGACCCACCTGAATATATTTGTTTATTTGGTGTTCACATAATTTAAAAAACTGACTCATAAAATTATTTTTAATTAAGTAAAAGTTAATAATTTCAGATATGTTTGAATATGTTGATTAAAAGAATTGAACCTGTGCAGCGTTTCGTTTTAGCTGATAGTAAATGTGATTCTTCAGATAATCTGCAGGTTTCTTGTTTAATGTTTGACCTTATTCTAATATTAAAAGCAGGATTTTTACTCGTAAAGAAGTTTTTTAAAATTGTGATATTTAAATTTTTGCTTCAGTAAAAGATTTGAATCCGTCGTCCATCACGATCAGAAAGATTTTTAATAAAAGTCTTCAGCAATTTAAAAACCTTTAGAAGGCTTTCAGACACAATCTTCAGATAAAGAATGTCCATGTTGGAAAAAAAAACTTCTTTCGACCAAATCTCATGTTCTTCCTCGGTGGAAGGAGTTCGCTCAGTAAGTCTAAAAGGTTTTATATCGTCTACTCAACCTGCGGAGAAAATGTTTGATTTTAATAAAAATTCATCTTCTTTTTCTTCCAAAAAGATTCAAGAAATCCTCAAAATGTGGAGTTAGGACTTTAGAAACCTTTAATCATTTTAAAAATGAGAGCGTTTAATATTCACAACTCTTAAAGAAACTGAATTAAAAGAATATTTTAATGCTACAAAAGCAAATTTTTGTCTTTTATTAGAGAACTGAGAACAGAAAGCACTAACTTTAATGTACAACTTGTATTTTACTGCTTGTGTTTTACTGCTTGTACACACACACACACACACACACACACACACACACACACACACACACACTCGCTGACTGTCACACACTCTGATGCTGCAGTGTGTTCGCTCTGTTGTCACCATGTCCTCTAATTAGAGGAAAACTTCCCCCCCTGCAGTCTCAGCCAATCAGGAGACAGCTTGTTGTGTTTATGTGCTGCTTTAAAGAACAGAGCGAGCCCTTTAAATAAAACCATAAATACTCCTGATGCTAGTTCACGTTTAAATACAGTTTCATTTTTACAGGTCGGACTCAGAAAGTATAAATAACCTCATTTTGTGAAATAAAAAATATGAATTGAATCATTTATATTTGAGTGTATTCAGCTTTTTACTATTAATATTATATTACTATTATTATTAATACTCCACTACTACCTAATGCTGCTGCCAGTAAAATATATTTTACATCTTAAGAACCTTTTTTTCTTCCGTTTTTATTTTTTTTTATTTTGGCTTAATTTTTCTTTACATTTTAGAGAATTTGCGTGAAAAGTTTCTGCATTAATTACAGTTACCAACAACAAAACTTGGCTGTGAGACAACAGAGAAAGAGTTGAATAATTAGGCTGTAAACGATATAAATTCTGGAGGTTTGACTTTCAGTGGAACGAGTGAGTTGTGCTGATTTGATCAATGTGTGTACGAGGTCTTTATGTTCATTTACTTACTTTATAAATTAAAGCAGAAGGTGATTTTTTTTAGGTAAACTACATAAATTAAGTTCAGAAGTCCATAAAAAAAGTCCTTATTTTAATTTCTTTCCATTGATCAGTTATTGAGGTTTAATCAATAATATAGAGGAAAACCCAAAAGTCAGTTTTCATCCTCAAATTTGACATTTTAGTGTAAAATGACTTCACTTCAAACTAAATAAATTAGTTTGAATTGTTTTTGCTCGTTTGATGATCTGGAGCGAAATATCTGACTGCTTCTGTGTTGAGCTGTTTTTTTTTATTCCTTTAGAATAAAATTAAAAATCAATAAACATTCAGATTTAAAGATCAGAAATAAATCTGAAAAAATAAACAGAATTTAATGAAGCTGAATATTTTTCTGTCTTCTTTCTTAATCCTGTTAAACATTTAGTGACCTTTCAGATGTATCTGTCGGCCCCTCAGTGGGGGTCCTGACCCCCCGGGGTTGAAGATTAAAACCATTAAAACACTAAACATTTTATTTTCTTAACGTAAAATCGAAATTTTCAAAGTAAAACTACAAACCCCAGCTGGCATTTTATTTATTATGAATGTTTCTGTCATATCTTATTTTTTATTTAAATTATATTTAAACAGAAAATGATCTTTTCCCGCCTTAAAATCCCAATAACTCCCTTTGCTCGCGTTAAGCTGAGCACATTCATGTTTTTAAATGTATATTTGTTTGCATGAATCCATTTGAATGTGTATGAGGGAACATTTGAGGCCATTCTCCCTGCAGGACTCTCTGTTGCCCCCCCACTCTCAGCAGCCTGTAAACCGGCTCCGAGGCTGCAGCGCGCTCCGGTACGGAGGCTGCGGGAGGACACCGGACTGCGGCTGGAGACGCTGATGGAAGCCGCACATGGTCAAACCAGGGACCGAATACTTTCACCCCCAACTCCTCACCCCCTCATCCCTCGCCCCCTAACCCCCGTTTCACAGGCCCGAGTTTCAAATGAAAATCATGACGCACTTCATCGAGCTGATGACGTTACAACCGGAGAAAGCTGCGGACACAGACCGAGCTCTGTCTGCTGGGGGGGCAACATGGGTGGAGATTTTATACCTTAACGACTTTTAAAGCAACTGAAAGCAGAATAATGGTTTAAATCTGGTTAATTAGATTAAATTACAAATTAAATGACAGTCCTGGATGAGTGCGATATTTTAATTTAGTTGATTTAATTCTTTTTATAATAAGAAACATAAAATGTGACACAGCACGTTAAAAAAAAAAGCACATTTTAAATGTTGGATTTTAAATTAAAGTAAAAATAAGACTCTCTCCTGGATGAGGAACATTACATCTAAAGAGAGGGAAGTGAAAGCCTCCCGGACTCTGAGCGGCGGGTCGGTCTCAGAGAGCTTTTAATTAAACCTGCAGGGAAACCATCATCCTCACCACCATCCTCATCCTCACCACCATCCTCATCCTCATCATCATCCTGCAGCTGCAAGTGTGGCCAGCACGTGTGATTAGACTGATCTCATTAGCAGCTATCAGTGAGAGTCCATTAGCCCTGCTGCCACTCAGAGAGGCTCCAGCACCGAACTCCGTTTACTTTACGGCCTATTTTACTGTCAAATGTTGTTTTACTGTTGCAGCAGCTCCGGTGATGAGTTTGTGTCAAATTAACTGCAAGTTGTGAAATAGATTCAACATTTCGGGGGACTCAAACCAACTGTTGCGTTCACGTTACTGTCAGTAAATCGGGGGAAAAAAGAGTAAATTGAGTGATTAAGCTCCAAAACGTTATTATTGTATTTAATGTTGTAATTAACTTTAATGGATTCTTTCTTCTGCAGAATAAAATCCAAAATAAAACCACTACTGTTTCTGCTCATCAATCCAACATTTGTTCTCTCAGATTCATTCTGGGCTGTTTTTTTTAAAGTCAGCTCTCAGTGAAATGAGATCCGGTGATATTTGAGTCCCTAACTGTTGCAGCGAAGACACGCGCACTAATTATGACAAATGATTAGGCTCCGGTATTCTGAGGGTTTGACAGGCCCGAAAATAAGCGGGAATTAACGAGCTGACCTCGGCCACTTCCTCCCGCACAGCTCTCACACCCGCACGCTCCGGTTTTCAGCCTTAAAAGAAATAACAATAACACTCATTAAAGCCCATAACGGCTCTGTCAGCCTCTGCAACCGGGCCTGCGAGCGGGAGGAGAGGAGGAGGAGGAGGAGAGGAGGAAGAAGGGAGCGTTTATTTACTCTCTCTACGGTGCGCCGGAGAGGCCGAGCGGTTGAGTTGTTGAGTTTAATCCGAGTTTTAGTCAGTTTCCATCCGCGCAAAGCAACATTTTATTACAATGAAGTTAGATATGATAGATTTTCAAGCTGGGGCCGTCAGCGGGAGCTCAGCGAGCAGTGCCCGCTTTTTACTTCACCGAACTCGGCCTCACTGTTGCGCGCACACGGAGGAATGAGCGGAGGTCGGACAGTCTGGCCTCTTCCATTATTTACTGATAAATTCAAACAGATGTGGATCTTAAAACCAGCACACATGTGTCCGGGCACAGCTCTAAAACATTTTACTTATATAAAAAAAGTTCAAAACCTGCTCGGTCTAAAATATGTGGCCTCATTTGGGTGAACAGTGAGGAGGAGGAGGAGGAGGAGGAGGAGGAAGGAGATTTATTACCCCAGAGTTTGACTCCACTGACCATGTCCACCAACATCACCATACCTCACTGACATCAAAGTGTTAATGGTAAATTAATGGCCGTTTTGAGGTTGGGGGGGGGCGTCAGGGATGATGCATTGCCAAAACTCACTAAAGGATTCCTTCCGTGCGCGCGGCTCTGCGCAGAGCTCCATTCATGCGCTCCTGCACGCGGACACCCGCCAGAACATAATGAAAACAAATGACTGAGATCTGGTCGTTATACGTGAGTGTGAACTGTGTCCCGGCCCGGCCCGGTTCGGTTCGGGTTCCTGCCGGTCTGCGTTTCACTTACTCTCCTGCTGGGTCGTGTCGCTCCCGCTGGTCAGCCCCGGGGACTCCAGCATACTCCTCCCCGCCTCTCCGACGCTCTCGTCCGCCTGGGTGCCCACCATTTCCCCGGCCTCTTCCAGATCCAACAGGTGGCTGACCGAGAAGTTCTTCTTGGCTTGCAGGTTGTCCAGGTTCGACGTGATCGGACTCTCCAGGCGGTTTGATATCGAGGCTTGCCTGTCCATTACATGTGCATAGCTAGAAGTCATGACGCAAGTGGGGAACTGCGGGAAAAAGAGCGGAGCGTCGATCTGAGAGGAAGAACCACAGAACAACCAAGATCCTTTGCACGGAAAGCCTCCAGAAAGCGGCCAGAGACAGACCCGGGTTCTGCCGAGCTACAACGCGGATCTGTTCGCATCCAGATCAGCCGCGGAGGGCGCAAACAAAACTTGAGCAAACTTTTTCTCCTCGCCTCGTTTTTCCCGTTAAAAGAAGTTAAACAGCCAATCCATCCAGCGGCGGCGGCGGCGGCGTCCTACTGCCCGAGAACCGACGTCCGAGGAGGGTTTTACACAAGAGGTCCTGTGAGAAGAAGCTTCTCTTCCCACTCTGGTTGAGTCACATCTGAGCAGGAAGAGCTGCTGCTGCTGCTGCTGATGACGACCAGATGCGCAAAGCTCCGTGTGTGCGCAAAGCTCGCTGAGCGGCAGCTAGAGAGCGGGGAGGCAGGACGTAACCGCCGCACCTCCAGGCTCTCTCTCTCTCTCTCTCTCTCTCTCTCTCTCTCTAATTACGTGGCAATGCCTTTATGTTGTGTCTGACGTTTCACAGGCCCCCACCACAAGCTGTCCCCCCCCCCTCACCCTTCAGCAGAAACATCACCATCAGCACCATCAACACCCCAGTTTGGCCTGTTTTTGTTCCCCTGGCTGAGTGTGTGTGTGTGTGTGTGTGTGTGCGCGTGTGTGTGTGTGTGCAGCCAGCAGACACACACACACACACACACACACACACACACACACACACACACACACACACACACACTGCTGTTATCTCTGTGTGTGTGTTGATAAACCCGCTCCCACTGTCCTGTGGTCTGCCACCAATTAAACCAACCCTAACCAGTGCCAGTCAGAGTATCCACAGACCTGCCCCCCCCCCACAGCAGCTCAGACTGGCACAGACACTTTAAACTAACTAACAGCATCATCCTAATAAAAGAGGCACTAAACATACATTTTTTTTGAATTAAACATTAATTGTTAAATAACTCTAACTTAAATGTGTGTGTGTGTAGTTCCACTGACTCTTTTTCTTTAAGTCTTCCTTTAGAATATTTACATTTTACTGATTTGACCACTTTGATAATTGACTACTTTAAATTGTTTTGACAGGTAATGTAATAATTTGCTTTAGTAAATTCAGCTACACAAATATGTGTTTTCATGCTTAAACTGTTGGAGTTAATAAACTTTAACAGTTTAAGTTGATCGGTTTCCTCAAACAGTTTGAGTTGAACTAAATGGATCCGTTACTGTCGATCAGATGAGGTTCAACCCAACAATGTGCAGTAATAAGTCACTCCAGCTGTTTGATAGCTTTAGTTATTAGTTACTTTGCAGATTCAGATAAATAACACTGAACAAATCAATCATGTACCATGTAGTTAATGATAAGTTAAGATTTCACCGGCAGTTTATAAAGTAAAATCAGCCACTTTTACCAACCAGCCCACATTATTCTGCATACTGAGCACTGTGGTCCTTTAAGCTGCTGCAGACAGACGCAGTTAGAGACCAGCTGCTGGAGAAGGTGGAGCCTTTAGTGGCTAAACAGACACAAATTCTAGAGAATATATAGAGAATACAGCTGCGCCATCAGTGTCGGATTTATTCAGATTCATCACTAAATTCATGGAAAACCAATGTTTGGTCATCATGCAGTTAACAACCTTAACTTCCCCCTGTAGTGCAACCCCGAGGGGCACACACCCACTCAGTGTTAGTGGGTGGAGACCAGAAAGGGTCCTCAGGTCATCATCGGCCACCCTGCTGCTCACAGGTGTGTGATTCTCAGGTAGTTCACAGAGGCTCAGCCAATCAGAGCTGCAGGAGAGTCTGATGGTCCGTCCACTCCTTCAACTGAACTCTGAACTGATGATATTTCTATCTCAGACAGACTTCTGGTTGATCTGAGTGTCGTGAACATAAAAATCCCCCAAACTGCAAACACTAAATGGAATTAAAGACTTTTCTAAAAACAGCTTTTAGGGGTTGTCCTCAAAGGCCCTCTTAAGGCCCTTTAAGCCATGATATATAACATTAAACAATGTATAAACTCTAGCTCTATGTTCTATATGTAGTTGAGTTCTCACATTATCTCAAATGTTTCCAACAATGTTCAAACTCAGAGAAATCTGTCATTTTATTCAGGTAACGCTGCGTTTCACCGGTCGCCTGTCGATGGCGTCATATCCCCTTTGTGCCTGCGTCAGCGTTGTGGTTGTCTGCCAGAAGCTGTCATACATTGACTGTTGATCCAGTCTGAAGCCACATTGTTACCATCCACTGTTTAGATCTTGGTGCTTTTTAACTCTAGATTTGAACCGGATGAAGGATTTTAGTCATCGGACGTCTGGATCTTAAGTTATCAGAGAAACAAGCTGAGCTAACGTTAGCAGCAGCTCGACTCGCAGCCCCTCCGGGACGTCCTTTGTCTGTCCAACAGCGTGGGACAAACAGTGGTTTTTAAGGTGGAACTGCTTTATTCAGTGTGTTTAGTGGTTTTAATCAGCGGGTCTGTTTGTGTTGGAGAGGAGGAGACCTCTGTGGATCATTGGGCTCCCGGTAGAAACCTCCTGAACCATGAACACTGAAGGAATCCTAACCGGGAGAAGCTGCTGTGACGGCAATGGTGGTGAAGACAACAACTCCCATGATCCCACGCTGCTTTACCACTTCATCAAACTTCATCTTTAGTTAATGTTTAGATGTGAGAGAGCCCCTAGTGGCAGGAATGACATATTGTACCTTAAAAAATGCCCAAAAGAAACCAATCAGAGAAGGAAAATCAAGCCAAAGCTGCTTACTGCTGAAGCTATACCTTGTGACAATTAGATTTTATTTTAAAGACTCACAGCACAAAAAAACACCAAGATCGTGATGAAGTTTTGCTCTCTGAGTCTGTAAAGCATCAGATAAATGTAGTGGACTAAAAGGAGAAAGTCGTTCTGACACTGAGTTACTTCCCACCTCCGTGTTGGGGGTGGTGGGGGTGAAGGGATGAAGGAATGGAGGGAGCTAGATGCTGGAGGTGATGTGTGTGTGAGGGGGGGGTTTGGAGGGGGTCATGTGTTCAGATGGCAGGAGTGGACTCCGGGCTCCGAGCTGCCATAGACATCCCGTGGCTTCCAGCCCCCTGATCTGGGAAAAGAACACTTGATGCCATCAAAGGGACGGGGATTGAATCCAGATGTGCCTCTCTCGTTCTTTCCATGTATTTAATGAAGGCACAGGGATAGAGTAGACTTTTTCATCATTAGTTTTCCCTCCAGATTCTCTTTTCCTGCCTACAAGTCCATTCCGGTGCCAGCTAGGGCAAGAGAAAAAAAATGAAAAGAAAGAAAGAAAAAAAAAAGGCCTCCCCATGTCTCAGACTCGCAGTCTTCTCCTCCAGGGCCCCTATTCTTTGTTCAGAGCTCGATGTGAAAGTGGCCTGTTTGCTCCGGCTGCTGCAGTTTGTCTGTGGCGAATGGAAACGTCCAAACATCTCTGAAAGGAAAACGCCATCCTGCAGAGCTGACGTGAGTCTGCGGGAGAGTCCGACACGGGCCGAAGATCTGCGTCAGGATGAACAGATCTCAGTTAGAAAAGTATTGTACAGCTTTTCTTTTAGAAATGAAGTTTGTGTTTTGATTTTATTTGTCCAAATTAAAGATGAACAGGCAGCTTTGTAAACTTCATAGAGAAGAGCTGCAAACATTTGAGCTTCATCTGATGAATTAAACATCAACTTAAAATTAAAGGCCTCATTATGGGAACCATCAACCCAGTAAGAATCAATCATGGCCCAGCAGAGTTCATTAAACCCAGTAAACATATTAAAAGATCATTTCAGAGGTTAACACTTTAAAGGAAAACAATGAACGTGTGAGCTGTGAGTAGATGGTTTTAGGAACTTTTTGCTGAAGACTCAACTTCATTCAAATGGATTTTGTTTACAGTCGGAACTCACAGATCTGTCTCAGAGGAAGTCGAGAGACCCTGAACATGAATAAGGAAACACCCAGCGGGGGCGTCCTGAAGGACCGGCGGTTTAAGACACATACCACGCAATCAGGGACCTGAGTTACATATCATCCGCTCTCCTGCGTGCCTCTGCATTGTGCTGAAGTTAGTGCTGCACGACGTGGATACGATGAGATTCATGATTACAGAGGGAATGATTCATCCATTAGAATCATGATGTTGTTACATTTGTTGTTTTCTTACATCTGGAGAATAAGATTCGTAGGTCAGAGCATCTCTGCAGCAGCACAGTACTTCTTCTAAAGTTTTACATTGCTCTCATTGTACATACACAGAGTAAGCAGTAAGTAGAAAACAACACGAAGAAGAAGAGGAGAAACATCAAGAAAGGACACAGACAGACGATAGTTTGAATTATTTAAATACAAACATTTTCCATGTCTTTACTCAAGTACAGAACTTACGTTCAATTTTAAAGTACTTTACTTTATTAGATGATATTTTATAAAATTCTTCTCCTCAGAAATATTTCACAGCTGCAGTTACTGCAGATTGTATACATGAAACATAATCAGAGGATAAAATATGCAGTTTTATATAAAGATTAAACTAAAAGTTCGACCATTACAACAGAAAATGATGATTAAACGTTAATCAGCAATATTTCTCTTATGATATATATTATAAAAATAACACTGTCTTTATTTACTTATGAGACTTCATGTGTACATATACTTACTGATACTTATACTTAGTAACAGAGTATTTAATCATTGTGATATTGTTTTTTTAATTAAATTAAAGATGTTAATAGGTCTTCCAGCTCTGCCAACCTCTCCTCGTTACTATAAAATGTCTGCAGCATCATTTCTTTACGTTTATAAAAATAAAACAGAACTACGATCAAATAGAAACTTATATTCTGACTATATGTCACAGAACAGTGAGAGTAGTGAATGGAAACATGAATTAGAGCTGAATTTAACCATTTGAGTGTTTGAATTTCAACTATTTTACTCTTATTTTTGATGTGTTACACAAAGTCTTGGTCTATATTTAATCCTTAAAGCTGAACCAACAGTTCATTAAACGCTCAGTGTTTCATCAGTGAGTCTGACGGGCGGGTTCTGGGCTCAGACTGAACTCCTATCACATAAATCTTTTTCACTCTGATACAGTATCAAACTGCACCGGCCAAAAACACACGAATAACCATAAATTAATGCAGAGCTTCACTGAATGGAACATAATCACAGAGTCATGAAACTCCACACTTTAACTCATGTCAGGACTAAAAGCCCGGACAGGGATAATTAGGGTCTGTGCTGGTTTGTAGTCTGGTCCAGCTCGGGGGAGACTGTGGGTGGTAGCTGAACGGTGAACCCACAAAAACCTGCAGCTGACCCTCAGAGACCGGCGTAAATCTTAATGAGGAGAATTCAGCAGGCAGGTGAGAGAGTGATCTC